GTCATGTATCTACATGTATCTTCCAGATGCCCCTTTATAGCACCCTTGATCGCATATCTAGTGTAATATAGCCCCCACCCCTTGTAGCACCCCTCACATATAGTATCATATAAGCCCCTCTTCTGAGTTGAACAGACTTTTAGCCAAACTGAAGTCACTCTCATGAAATTAAGATCCATTACCATGAGTAATACAAATAAAGCATTCAGTCAAATTAAGTTATTTTTAAGCATGTACAAATACAAAAAAAATGTAAATTTACCTTTTGGTGAGCCCTGTATAATGTGATGAGTTGTCTAGTTTCATCAATCAAGCTGCATTCATGAATTTTAGAAGTATACCTTACAAAAAAACAATTATCTCTGACTTTCCCTGCTTTTTATAATTTTTTTGAGATTTAACTTTCCATTCAGGGACCATATTGTAAAATGTTATTAATTGTTGGGTTTCAATTTTCACTTTTCGTTTAATCTCCATTAAATATAATTATGCAATGCTATCAAAGAATTGATTGAATCAATCAGTGTAAGCAACAGAGTGTGTAATATAATACCATCTTTGTTACTGAGAAGAAACTTCCGTTTGTTTGAGCCCTTTATCATGAAGATACATGTTTTAATAGAATTTAATTATTTCATTCAAACCGTCTGTTTAGTGTCACTCAAGGTAGAACTGCTACGTTTCATTTTCTTAATTTTTACATGTGTGACATTTCATGATGATGAACAGAAAATGAAAATACGGGGTCACCATAAATTGATGTACAAAATGGAGTGAAAATAACATGTTTGTTTCAGGCATTGTTTTCTATGACAAGGATTTTATGAGGTTATCACTTGATATCACTAGTTCGTAGAGCTCATGAATACAAGTGACGTCATGGGCTAGTCCACAAACCGAAGGGAAATCATGATTTTACAGAATTACTTTGATGTTGTTGTCATTAATATTCATCACATGTTACTCTCCGTTTGAATGTTAAAGTCACTTCGCAAAATAAACTGCAGTTTGTTTCCCCCCTATATTTTTTTTTCTGAAAATTTGAGCAAGACCTGTAGCCGATTGAAAACAGTGCCCATTCATTCCAAAATTAACAAAGAAATTATAGAGAACTACATAAAAATGTTGAATCAACAATTCGGCGGGAAAAATTATGATATTCAATTAATTAACACATCCTTCCTTCACAGACAGCCAATAAGAATATGGTATACAACATTGTCAACAGGCGTTGTGTTAGGGTAGTTTGCTACCATTAATGCATGAAAAAAATTTATCACAGTAAATCATTCAAAAATTGTTGTGTAATGATTTACATACATGCACTTCATTGATAGTTAAAGTTTTTACGGAGAAAGAAGGATGCTTTTCCAAGAAAATGAATATGCAAAATAATCTAAAAGCAGCCAATTTGGAACATTTTCCTTTTTAGTCCCCGTTCGGACACAGTCCGAAAATGGGGACTTATGTTTTGGCCTTCGTGTGTGCGTGCGTGCGTCCATCCCTGTATCTTAGAAATGCCTGGACCAATCACAATCAAACTTCACACATACATCATACATGATAGTATACATAAGCACGTCAATTTGTTTCACGATCTGATTCAAGATGGCCGAATGGCAGCCATTTTTGTGCTAAAAATCATCAAAAACAAGCATTTCTCAGCTGTTAACAGATGGATTTTGTTCAAACTTGGTATATACATTCGACATTATAGGACCTTGCTGCACATTATTTTGTTTTTTTAGATAAGGTTCAAAATGGCCGACTGGCAGCTATTTTGTTTTAATGAATGTGGTTCTCGTGCCATATCTCTGACTTGCTTTCACTGATTATGTTCAAATTTTAAATATTCATTATACATCATGGCCATTTTTGTGCTAAAAAATCATCAAATATCAAACATTTATGGATGGATTTCGTTCAAACTTGGTACATATGTTAGACATTACAGGTTCCTGATGCACATCATTTATTTTTCAGATCGGATTCAAAATGGCTGTCTGGTGGCCATTTTGTTTTAATGATTGGGCTTCTAGAGCCATATCTCTTAAATGCTTTCACTGATTATATTCAAATTTTATATATTCGTTATACATCATGTTATATATATACATGTATTCAAAATGGCTGATTCTGAATGCTGTTCCAAAGCAATATCTCTCAATATGGACAAGTACTTTTTTGACGATCATGCATGGCTTGTTTTTTATGGTAGTATACTAATGAATATATATATGTTTGTTGTAGCTATAGCTGACGCCTTAGACTGTAAAATATGTGTGACCAGAGATAAGCAGTCTATTTTAATGTGTCTAGAAGATAAGCACATTGAATCATTGATGACATTAGACTGGAATAGTACCAAGCTGCATGTAATACCCATGGCACAGATCACTCACAAGGTGAGTTAAAATTGGTTAGTTTGTTTTCACATTAAGTGGTGGTCGTTTTTTGTTAGAAATCATGCATATTAATTATCTAATATGTATAATAATTAGTAAGTTTTTAGCTCTTTCACTATTTGATGACATTTATTTTACATTTCTGTATTTCTACATCGTGGATTGCACAGATAATTATTTTGTTGAAATTTATTCTCAATAATTTACAAATGGTTCACCAGGCAACAGGGCAGGTAACCTTAAAACGAGAAGATTGTCACCTGCGCACACGCGGGAAATGAGTCCCAAGCGATAATAACAACACACGCTAAAAATGCAAAGGCTCATGGGTAGACGCTTGTTTGTAAGCAATGAAACGCCCGCTCTGCTAACAATTTACCAGCCCTGTTTATGTTTTCAATATTTTCACTACATTTCATTCAGTGTCACTGCAGTGACTTTTATTCAAGTCAGAAAAATCTGATTTGTAATCTGAGTGAGTATCTACATCAGCCAATCCAGTCTGCTTATTGATTGTATCATTGGTAATCATCCATCTGAATTCAGTTTTCTACTATGGGACAATTTTACGTATTCTTTTGGTTATATCATACACCCTATTCGCCTTTTTCAAGTCACATTTTACATTTTGCTTTTTTGCTGGAGGCTCGATTCCTAAAAATCAACAGTGTAAAAACACAGAACAGAATGATATTCTGAAAAGGTTGGGTCAACTGAAACCCTCGCATATTGTGAGCGCTCGAATCACGCATAGTGTGAGAGTTCAGTGAAATCATGCATTGTTCATGGATTGCATGATTAATTGATTCATTTTTTTTTTTCTCCAAAAATCTACCCAACCACAAGGCTAGTAACTTGAGATTTTCACCAGCCCAACTGAATAGTTACCCGTGCCGGACGGGCAGTAATTTCAAATACTGATTTTAACCTTCTCTGTTGCAGGTATATAATATCTCAATAAATACTGCTTTGTTCGTGTTTACACAAATTCAATTCAATTTAATGATCTTAATGACTAATATGTTGATTTTATTCATTGACATTATTTGAACTATTCAGCTATTAAGTTATGATTCAGCTTGCGCAAATCTATATTTAGTTCCAGAAAGCTTTTTCAAAATTCTTTTTTCTTTTTCTTCTTTCTTTTTCACTTTCTTGCACACTTTCTATCAATGCACATGTGCTAAGAAGTCTCCTCATTTGTTAACGTAATCATTACCCAGAACGCATTTTGCATATTGGCTGGCAATGACACCCGTTTTTGACTCCCGTGTGCGAAGCACAAAAAGGGAGTCTTTGCAGTTAGTTTGTCTGTATGTGTGTATGTGTGTGTGTGTGTGTGTGTGTGTGTGTGTGTGTGTGTGTGTGTGTGTGTGTGTATGTGTGTCCATCTGTTCCACTGATATCTCAAGAACCAGACATCAGTTTTTGATGAAACTTGGTGCATAGATGCTCTGGACCAATGCGCAGATTTGATTAGGTTTTGGTAAAAATCCATGCATATTAATTACCTAATTTGCATGATAAT